AATTGTAAGAATTCTATTTGAAAACAATGATATTACCTCATTTCAAGTATCTGTGATCTCGAATCAGCGTCATAATTTTAAGAGAAAATGTGCTCTTGAGACTCATATCAAACTAGGATCTTGTCAAGCATTGTGATCACTTAGGTACCCTACCTCGGAAAGATGAAAACACCAACGTACAGCCTTTACAACTATATGAAGAACTCCAGGTTTTAAAATCCATTTCACCAGACTCTGTGAATGACGCAAGACAACTTATCCAGTACATTTTAGAAAATAATTTGGAAAAGTATATCTAAGTGTATACATAACAATCAAACTCGGGCGAACAGTTCGAGTAAGTACAGCGTCTGTTGTCAAAGCTAAGATGATTGAGACCGATTTCAGAAGCACGACGAGCCAAGAGACACTATCTGCTCCATCAGGTCTATCAATTCAAGTGGAAATAGCGACTGGTGTTTGTTATAAAACAATCTTGAAACAACTCAGTGAGGCTATAAGCTGAGCTAATGTTTCTTTGATTGGGAAGTGGAAGAGGCCTCGCAAAGCTGATGTCATCGACGTCCATATTTATATGGCTAGTATTCTGTATTATCAGTGAATCTATACTCTATATGATAGATGAATAGCGAAAATGTTAATTAAATTGAAGATATACTCACAAAGTATGCCATACGATTTATGTAACAAAAACTTCATATCAGAAAAACAGTATAGATATAACAGACACAGTTTAGTCACAAAACACTGAATATCAAGGAAATACTCACAAGAAAATAAACACAACTTTTGCCACCTTTACGCCGTGTAAGAACATTCAAGAATATTCAAGTAGTCAGTCGAATGCTACCGACAATGAAATGAGACTATTCTCCGAACTCGCTTAAATAGCGAATGAGTATTTACCCTCTTTGATTACCCAAGCACTGACTAAATTTAAGAATGAATGAACAACGGTTCGGAAGCAAAAACAATGGATGGAAATTTACGTATCTACAGATAATGATTCCACCTTAGTAAGTCCAAACTAGACCTGTAAACACATTCATGGACAAAGAATAATCCAGAGTGGAGTATGTTGACAAACTTGTATACCCAGTGATTAGTTGCAGGAGACTTTGTAAATGTGAAAGGTAAAGACGAAATGTTTCCGGTAGATACACAAAACCGAAAAATTGAGCCAGAAAAAGTATTCTTGAACATGCATACCTACTTTGTACGAATACTGGTACAAATAATTTATGAGTTTTAAGGTAAATAAACAAACACTAAATTCATTGACAAGTAAAATTTTGTATAAAAGTATAAATACTATATTGAGCGCACACCTTCATTGGATGACTTTTTACCACCTGCCAAGCTTTTTTGAAATGTGATTTGATGAAACTTTGTCAATTATGAAATGCTAAAGTGTGACGTATTTATCGTTATATTTGGTGAAGCTTTAAATAAATGGCGAAATGCGTTGACACTTATAATTTCTGCCGGTGAAACTTTTCATTAATGTCAACAAGTAAAAGCATCTACAACCTACATTTAGAAATAAAATCCCAGTATTTCAATATAACTACGAATTTCCGCTAAGCCAACATGCAAGTTTGATTGGTTATATTGAAATTGCTAGATTTAAGTTTTAGTAAAAGAAATCCAATCGCTACAGACTTACTAAAAAATGTGTCATGGGTAAAAATGATAATAACGTATGGAAGAACTTGTATCAACGTTCAAACGTCCATCCCACTCTTTGTGTAAAGTACACAAATGATGGATATTTCCTGGTGCAAAGTCCACGACGTTACGTTTCACTGAAAATAAGCTCTTGTCATATAAATAGGTTCTTGTGCTCTAAATTAGATATTTGTTGGATGTACGAGTAGAATGCTCGTAATTTTTGTACATAAAAATTGCGAATATGTCTTAATATCTTATTACATAGTACTTTACCTCTTCAGGTCAGTATTATACATAACATTGTTTCTACAGCGGTTTTTCCATCTTCTTTGAAGCTAAAACGGTAAATTGATGTTCAGATTTTCCTGCTCTAAACACAGTAATTATATTTATCATGTAAATATTTCGCTAAATGACGGTTATACACAAAAAATTTAGTAACTTTATCCTCGTGCGCCTCGCGTTGCTGCCATTCTGGACAACCACGTGCGCATCTGTTTTAACGCTATATCTTTGTACAGAGATATTATTATAGTATAACAGAATTCTATTATTTTTGCCTCAAAATGAAATACGCGATCATGCACATTTGAAACTTATTCTGTGGTTTTCATGTTGACAGTATCCGATGTTTGTTTGGCCGAATAAAAGCACATACATGTTCAAAATTCTGCTTTATTCTACGGTTTCAACGGTGACCTTTTTCAAGTAGAATTGAAACTTTTTTTGACAATATATTGTGTGTGTATTGACAAAATATTGTAAAAAGTATCAGTTGTAATTGACTATTGGTACTGAAACGTCGTATAGTAAGGAGGAATTTTAAATATATGTGGTTTGATGCGGCCAGACAAACGTGGTGATTAAAAAAATGTTTTTTTAAATTAACAATTTTGGCAAAAATACCATTTGTACTCTTTAAATAAACTACATATTTACTTCTGCTTTCATATTACTCGGTACTGCCAATTTTAATGATGTTATCGTTATTTTTTGTACAGTAATGACGGCAACGCCTCAAGCAAGGCTCCAGTTTGTTAGCATACTGTTTGATACTCCAGCTAAGATTCAGTGTCAGACATTCACATTGAACATAAAAATTTAAAAAGGATGAAGTAAATTTACTAGTTCGTTCAACAAGTTTACTATTGTATTGGCTCTGTATTGAACGCACTGTCCTCTTTTTCTGCTAATTAAACATTTACAAAAAACATCTTTGTAAATATTCAATGTCCTTTGAAACTGTATCATCCATGAATCGTATCAGTGAACGGTAATTCAAACTCATGTGGTTTCATTCAGCGGCCAGACAAACATGGATGATTATTCACATAAAAACTTCAAGCAAAATGATCAAATACACCAGCCCTATCATGTCACCAATTTAGGAGGCATTGATCTAACGATACTACCAAAAAAATGTACTGTCATCAAAATTTTCGGCTACCCTTATACAGAATCCCCACATTTCTTGGCTTATTATCATAGTTCATCATATAACCATTATACTTGACTATTTCAATAAGCGGGAGGTTACTGGAAAACCGCTTCTAATCCTAGCAAAATGATCAGTGCCAGGTCAAATCTGCTTTCTATCGGATTCAGTCGCTTGTCAGTTTCATAACAGGCTACTAGATGATTCAAATTATTTATAAAATGAGCATGACACCTGCCAGCTAGCTCTAGCCAGTAATAATGACGTCGATATTTGGTAATAACTCGCCATTTGACGTGATTTTTCGAACCATCGACGTCGTAATGAGGCGTACTAAATGTCTGCACGTGAGTTGTAAGGTGTTTTTATTACGTATTTTTGAGGTCATCGATGCTTTTGTTAATTTCGAATCAAACTCATTGATTCACAACGGATCAGTCAGCGGGCAGAGAAACAATTATCTCGTTCCATCCCTTATCGACGTTCAGGCAAAGTAACTCAGTGTCAACTTATTAAGGTGCTGCCAAACGTTCATACTTCTAGCGTAGTGTGTGAATAAAAATGACCTTATTGGATGCAACATTCAAATGGAACATACAAAACGAAAAATACAGATAACATTTTAGCTATTTGAATGTGTTATGTATTATTGAAAATGTCTTTTATTTCTAATCTGGCAACGCTGTATGGCGACAATCGACGTTATTCCTTCCGTTGCCCCGCCATTTTCACCCGGGCCTTCTTGCTCCAGCCTCCTCGCATTGAGTATTCCCAAAACTATAGAAAAATATGCCATTCTGAAAACCGTTCGAGGCTAACGTGAATTTAATTCTCTAGCATGTTGTGTAAAACACCATGTGTATTACACAGAGTAAGTAAACATGGTAACATCAGCGTAGTGTTTCCACCTAGGTGAGCAACTCTGAGCCAGTGCTACAATTTATGGCGTATGCTGTGCCGTCTCTGTAATACTACTGGTAAAACACAAAGTATGACTTTCTGAAGAAGCTAAAACTGTTTATTCATTATAAATAATAGACATCATTTGCACGTCCAGCAAGTGCCATATTATTGACGTGTGCCATATGACATCGGTCAGGAATTCATTTTCACGTTAATTTTACTTCATTCAATTTGTGATTTCTCGTCATTTCCTGACCAGTTTATAACGTCATTTTCAAGTGCTTGTGCTACCAGGGTTTATGATAAGTGATTTACGTGTAGCTAGGTAAATGACAATATAAATCAAAATATTTAAATCGGATTCATATATCATAGTGTTATTAGTAGTGGAAAGAAAGCCGTTATTGATCTCGCAGATGTGCCTCAGCTCAACCAATAATGGCTTACTTTACAACCTTGTAGTAAAGTTGTATTGTTCCTTCTAATAATGCTAAATGAAAATTTTTGATAACGTTGGCAGCCCATTTTTTCCAATTAATATGTACCAATATCAAATCGAAGAACCAGTTACTAATTATAGCAAAATTATTCTTGGGTCATATCGAAATAAGGCAAAATTAGCAACATTCAAAAACATAAAAATCGCTACTTTATGAATATGTTGTTAGTAGAAAAAACGATCGGTATTGGCGAATCAAGCACAAGGATGCATGTTGTGAAACGTCAATGAAGCTAGCCGGATTTTTATTAATGGGATCGATTGAAAAAGTTTATTATTTTCTTCTAGCAAAGATTGGAGATTTCGCAAGTTTATATCATTTTCGTTACTAGAGTTGAATATGTGTTACAACGAGTTATATAAAAAAATTGGAGCTCATTAGCATTGACCGTGGGCAGATACTCAGTCTAGACATATAGGTATATCGCGAATTGGTCTTTATTTTGATAGTTATAGCTGTCGATAGGGCATATTAAAACTAACATATGGCTAATAAAGTTTAATTATCAACATTAATATACATACATAGTAATAACGCATACAGATGTTGGATCACTCCGTCAAAAGCTAAGTTCAAATAACTCAAAATGATAAATATTTTGATAAGGCAATGCGAAATATCTAAACGTTTAAATTGATTGAGTATTGAGTCCTTGTAGGGAAATGTACGATCTTATAAACGAGACAAAAAATGCACAAAATTTTATTATTTTTCACATAATTTTTTTACGTCAACGACAAAATACTAGAAGTATCACAATCAACTAAATTATATAAAAATATAACGCCCATTCATACGGCTAATTTTTTTACAGAATTATATGGTTTACTCTCTTACCACCTCTAGCACTTTACTACCAAGATAATTTGGAAAAACACTAAACAACTACGTATTCTAATATAATTGAGTACTTTCATACATTTCGTGGATGTAGATGATTGTATTTGTGTCTTGAATCTTGTTGATGGTATGTTGATCATTATAATAATTATGTATCTTGCCCTAATAAATTGGAGGCCTACAAAATCTACCCGGCTTGGCCGTTCACAGCACTCGATACTGAAAAAAAGATGGGACATTATTGTTCTGTATAATCCGTACGTTAGGTATACGATAACAAATTATCGTAAAAAATGGTGTCAATTAGGTTGACTCTGCACTTTCCACGCAACGATGTCATCAGCTCATAAAGCATTATTATTATAAGAAAAAAAATAACTACGAATATGTATAATACAAAAACTAACTTCGTAGCGTACGGGAAGTGCGACCTAGATCGTTTGATTGTTTTTAGAGCAAATGTACGGGGACATCTATGACGTATACTTTCTTCCACCCCCTACAACCTCAACCTCCAATTTTTAACCAAACAATTTTGCGAAAATAATCAAGAGGATTTTTATTTTTTCGTGTTTCCACCGCCATTAGACCGATTTTCGAAAAAAAAGTTTTTTTATCCTTGGTATAGTAGTAATCTTGTGTGAAAATTTCGGAGTAGTTCTTTCCACATTATAGACAGACTAAGGGTTTGCGGACAGACCGATAGGCATATCGACGGAAATGAGTGACATGAATTTTTTATGTACATGTCATTCAAAGAACGTAACATCTCATTTTTGAAAGTTTTCGCGATTACAAGACTTACTCACCAGTATGCGTGGGAAGAAAAAATGTAAATAACGTGTCTAATTTTGGAGCAAGGTCGAAGATTCATTAACTTTGACATTTAAGCTTCTTTGTTTGAATAGCCTTTGGTAGTATAAATGAGATATGTTTTTGCATGTTAACGATATCACGCATTTCTGTCTGCCTGACGTTCTAAACTTTGGCTTCTCTTGGAAGGTACTGCTCGGATTTGGACGAAATACATACCAAATGTTACTACTAAGCTAAGGGCGAAAAGGCTTTGTAGTTTTTGAAAATCGGTCTAATGGCGGTGGAGAAAAAGGCCAAATCGCAAAGAATAAGAATCGGATAAACTTCGTTTTTTGACATTTCAGAGGATCCTGATCATTTTTGAAAATATGTTTGGGGGTAAAAAATGTCGCGACCGACAATATGGAAAGGGGCAAAGTTGTCAGAAGGGCTGTAACTACCGGTAGGGTAAGGAAAGAATATCAGATGTACCTACTAATTGTATGGGCCTGTTTGACTTACTTGAACCATTTAATTCCTCTATTGCACATGTTCTTAACTTTTTTTTCTCCGAAGGCTTATCTTGTGCTGAACTTAATCCTTTATGAACTGATGACGGTGTTGCGTAGAAAGTACAGTTTTTGAGTAACTTACCCTGGGACCTTGAGCCCAACATTGGTTTGTCAACCAGGCGGTATCACAAACAGTGGCTCCTTCTGTAAAATTAACAATTTATTATTTTACTACACTATTTGTAATAAACAAGTAACATTACCAGAATTATAGAAAATATATTGAGAACACTATACTTCGTATTGTGGATACATTGATTTCTCCCATGCAAATAGCTGAGCTAAAATATGTTCACAATCACAACTATACGTAAAATAAAAGTATTCTAAGCATTCCATGAAGTTCAAGCTGTCAGGCGCGATGATGCACAACGAGTCGGCATTATTCAGTCTACCAAGAAGCACATTACTGAATGTGACTTTTTTGTGACATTGCTTGTGGAAATATATTAAGCAAATCTTGCCAAAATCATCCATGAACACTATTAATTGGAACTCTCTCTTCTTTCTGAAATCTGCTTTCGGTAACATTATATATATATATATATATATACATGTATATATAAAATATAGCTTTCGTACGTCCGACCACAGATGGCCAATCATCGACAACTGTTTAGTGCTATTTGGCAAATCCTCAGTGTGGTATAGGCTTGGTCTCAGGTAGTAGAATGACCGAAATGTGACTATCCTCTAAGAGTCTAAGGTCTATCGAAATAAGACCAATCCTACACCATGCTGAGGAGTTTCCAAATAGCACGAAACAGCTGCCCATGGTTGGCCGTCTGTGGTCAAATGAAAGTTAAATATGTTCTATTGTGGCACCAGAATCGGTGGCATCTAGCGGCCACAGTGGTGAGCCGCCTGATAATACGAACTGAGGTACAGTTCCAACAGACAGCACCATGTTTTCACTCTCGCAGTGATCGATTTTGGTAATAGGTGCCACTTTATGCTGTCTTGTTTCAAAAGAAATATGTTGAATAAGATATAGGATATAGAGGTGGAGATAGAAAGAAGCAATGATTCACTTACTCTTTGTTCCACATCTTCGTATTATAGGAATAAATTCGTCCCTGTAATTGTCGGCAAGATATGCTATGCATGCATCCTCATCAATGTCACCATCTTCTGTAAGCTAAATAAAATAAAAAGTATAATTACACGAGTTCCAAACGATATTTTTTATCAAGATCTCTTATTTGCCGTTTCAGTTTGATATTAAAAAAAAAGCCGTATATACTATACTAAAAACGTGTCTACTATATATTTGATGACTGTTGCAGCTGAAATCTAAATTTTTTTATTCCATGAAGCCTTTTGTCTTTTTTCTGCGAGGGAAAAGCGCTATCACCAAGCTACTGTGTGTCGGTCGTACCATCCATACCCCACAGTTGAACTGTGTAATGTACTTGCGACAAGCCATGAGTTTTGTCCTGTGACAAGTAACAATAATGCAACTAAGTTGCTGGGCTATATTTACAATTTTAGGGGTTTAAAGGTGCTTAAAGAAACTTTGTTAATCCTATTTTCGAACTGCCTTAGGTTAATAGAACTGGTAAAAGCTCCCTCATGTAGATTGTTCCACAATCTCGGTACCATAGAAATAAAGAAGGAGCGGCTGTATCGGCCAGTCTGGCAGACACATCGCGGTATCATGGAGGAGAACTCTGAGGCCCGTTGAATATGAGTAGAAGACCGTTAGAGAAGAATATTCTATCAATTGGACAGCCCTCTTCGGATCAGCGTCGAGCATGGATAATGTAATCGGTGCAGTCACACCCCAGGCTAGGTCTGATTTGGGCCTTGTACAGAGTTATGTGTAGAAAAGGACTTTTTAGCTTTTTAGCCCTAAACAAATAGCTTAGCCTTTCCAAGCAACTGCCGCTATTGATGGTCACGATGGGAGGCCGAAGTCAGATGGGTCTGTCTGGTATTTGTAAGTAATTTTTTGCTTCGCAACTAAAGGTGTTAGGTACATCCGCTTTATTTTAAAATGTGTATAATAACGTATGTTCTTCGAATATCCTAGCCAATCTGTCTAGTTACTTACAAATACGAAATGTTTGAATTTGTTTAGGAGAAAAGAAGGAAACCTCCATTTTTCGCATAAAAATAACAATTATCTTTCAGAATGGTCTGTGATTCATATCGGCAAGGTAAACTCGTGTATTTTGCTATAAAATGACATTTGAACGAACACTGTATATTGCTCAATAAACTAATAGTGATGGCCGGAAGACAGGTGTTTTAGAATAACAATTAGAAATTATCAAAAACTACTGGACCAATCGACTCCAATTTTGTTGTGGTTATTTAGAAGTAAGAAGCCTAGATTTGAATAATATCAAGTAGCTGCGAGAAATCATCTGCATTTTGCCTCGGTTTTCGGCCATAACTTTTTTTACTATTTAATGGGATCTTTTTACGTGTGGTCTCATTCTGTAAGTCTCATAAAAATCTTATTTGAAGAGTTTTTCGTTCCGGCCAACACTCCCGATTGAATCCCAAAAAACACGTTTTCTCATTCTTTGTTCGAATTTGTTAAAAGTTTTCTCACAAAAATTTGTGTACCCATTTTATGCGCCCATGTCTTAAATACTCCCTTGAACAACTTGCATCAATAAAACCAGACTTTGCAATTGTTTCGCAAACCAGGGGTATTTTCGTTTAATATGATTAGACTATTATAGCTCTGAATTGAAGCAATGCGATTTTGGCTCTTTTCCGATTGTGAAGTCACCACAAAAAAGGGCAGATTTCTATCCGAAGACGAGCTGGGAGACATAGATAGTAGTTACTAGTAGTAGTGGTGAAGTGGCGAAGCCTGGCATCTAGGCCACCTTTGGCCCTTTTTTGCCAACCATGTAGTACCAACAAATGTACTACTTCACAAGCCATCTACTAAGAACTGATTATTGATGGCCAGTTGCACCGCCTTTCTGAATTCTACCACCTAGCAAAGGTGATCGGAATGCTAAGGTTAAACTTAGCTGAGATGAATTCCCATCTGGCAACAGTCCATCTTTAGTGATTTTTTAAGGAAATTACGTCTCCAGCCACAAATTAGTTGGTTGAATTGGTTGTTTGTTTTCCTTCACAAGTTATATGTATAAAAGGGCCAACCCAGTGAGTTAGATACATTGAAGGTGATTCATACCTTGTACCATTATTGTATTTTATGCTGTAAATACAATATACAGGGTGGCCCATCCAAGTGTGGACGGAATATTACTCATAGAAAATACATTTTGGTAAAATCTATTTAAGGGATGTTATACACGACATTTGAGAGCACAATTCTAAAATATTGGCCATTATACAGGATGTCCCAATTTCGACCTACATATCAAAGTTGTGATCTTTCAAATGGAATGCCTCAAATTTTAAATTGCATGTTTGGATAAACTTAGGATAAACCAATTCAGAAGAAGAAAATTGATATAATATACTATGGAGTTCTGGTAATTAGCTACTGAGATATAAGGATGTGTTGTCTAGACAAACCGTCCACTTCGGTAACCCCTTAGTCCGCCATTTTGAAATTTGGAGTGCTGAGTTTTGTATAAAAAAAATTTACACACCTCAGCTTTTATCCTATTTGTTACTTTTTCGAATTTCAATTTTTTCTCTTACTAGGTGGTCAAAAACGCAAATTGTAGCTTTGCTCAAAAATTTCAAATGCATTGCCCTGTATATTTGTGCAAGTTTGAATTCAATTTGATAAGCTTTTTTTGATACCAGACTCATAAGGGTTTTTACTGCTATTTTTTCGGTTATTAGCATGTATTTTATGGAACGGCTTGATTCCCTAAAATATCGCATCATCCTTGGAAACAAATAAATTGTTGATTACTTACAAACTGTCAAAATTAGCTTTGTGAGCATTATAATAAAAACGTGTTTGAAAACGAATTTTTCTAAAGAAGAAATGGTGAATATAGTGTTCGTTTTGGGCAAAGCAAAAAGAAATAGTTTCCTAGCATCTCGCATTTGTAAGCAACGGTACCCTAATATGCGACATCCAAGGCCGGAAACATTTTCCACACTACGAGAACGTTTTGAATCAAGTGGAGCAGTGGAATCCGAGGGATGGAAATAAAACAACACGGTAGGTAGTTTTAAATGACTTTAGTGTTTTTCGAAGTATTCTCCACGAAGATTAATACACATCTGAATGCGCTCGAACCAATTTTCGAAGCACTTATTCCACTCGTTTGGTGGCAGATCCAAAACGGCATTTTTGAATGCGTCAACTGCTTCTTCTGGTGACTGGAACCTTTGACCACGCAGTCTGTTTTTAATTTTCGGGAAAGTAAAGAAATCGTTAGGACTTAGATCGGGACTATATGGAGGATGGTCCAATAATTCCACGTTTTCTTCCGTTAAATACTGCCTTGTTTTTTGGGCTGTGTGCGAGCTTGCATTGTCTTGGTGGATTATGATTCTTCTTTCGGGGTTGATTTTTCGAAGCTCGGTGATGACTTTTGGCAAACAAATGGTGGTATACCAATCCGCAGTAACAGTTCTTTGCTCATTAAGAGGAATTGTTGCAATATGACCCGCTTTTGACACAAATGTCGCGACCATCTTTTTCGAATCACTTCGAGAACGGATGACTTTTGTTGGCTTTTCTTCACCTTGGAACACCCAAACAGCCGACTGTCGTTTATTTTCTGGCTCATATCAGTAAATCCACGATTCATCACTACTAACAATGCTGTACACATTTTTTGAGTTTCCGGAATTGAAACGGTCAAGCGTTTTTTGATACCAATTAACCCTGGCTGCTTTCTGTTCTTCAGTCAACAGGTGGGGTATCCAACGAGAAACGAATTTTCTTACTCCTAATTCTTTATGTAAAATTTTATGAATTGAGGTCGTTGAGATCTTCAAGGACGCCTAAATCTCGCGATATGTCACATGTCTATCTTCAATGATGAGTTTGCGCACAACATCGACGTTTTCCTGGGTGACTGCCGTTTTTGGTGCACCCACCCTGGGATCGTCGCTAAGACTCACCCGTCCACGTTTGAATTCTCCATACAAACAGAAAATTATCGACTGATGTGGCGCTTCGTTGCCGAAAACAGACAGTAACTCAGCAAGGCATTCTTGGTGCGATAATTGTCTCTGAAAGTTGTAATAAATTATGGCGCGAAAATGTGCTCGGTTGAGTTCCATTTTTCTATTGACTTGGTGACACTTAAAAATTCACTGTAGTGAGAACACTGCACGTATTGTTGTGAAACTTTGAATTTAAGTTTACTAAAGAGTGAGGTTAAGATTCAGTACTGACGTTCGATCCGCGCGGCCTACTATGTTTCTATATGCAAAACTTAAAAGACATCCCTCGTAAAGTAAAAAATGTATAAATAATCCAAGTGACACCAAAGAGGCGAATCAGTTGGAGGTTCTATTTAAGTTGCAGGAAAATCTCCAATTAAGTGCACGGCAAATTGGAGCAGAAACTGATATATGAAGAACTTCTGTCCAAATGATTGTTCGCAAGAATAGGTACCATCCATATCACTTATGCTTGCATCAATGCCTTCGTCCTCAGGATTTCGCAGCTCGAATGGAGCTTAGTATAATAATGCTAAATAAAGTGAGTGAAGACACTACTTTCCTAGATAAAGTTCTTTTTAGCGATGAGGCAACTTTTAACAGCATAGGTATTGTCAACAGGCATAACATGCACTATTATGCGACGGAAAACCCTCACTGGTTTAGGCAAATAGATTTCTAATAAATGGAGCTTGAATGTTTGGGGAGGAGTTATTGGCAGACAAGTTATCGGCCCTTTCGTTTTCAACAGCAGATTAACAGGTACGGAATATTTGAATTTTTTGATCGAGCATTTGCCTTTGTGTTTGGAGGATGTCGACCTGCAAACTCGGATGCATATGTACTTCCAACATGACGGCGCACCTGCGCATCATCATAATAGAGTGCTTAACTATTTGGACACCTGGAGTAACAATCGTTGAATCGGGTGTGATGGGCCTATATCTTGGACTCCTAGATCACCGATGGACTTCTTTCTATGGGGCTACGTTAAGCAAGAGGTTTATAGATATCCACCATCTATCACCATCTATCCCGGAAAATATGAAGGAAAGGATTAAGGATGCTTTTCTGAACATAAGGGAACACATGCTAAGAGATGTGCAACGGTCATTCATCCAAAAACTACGGCTGTGTGTTCAACATGGTGGAGATATTTTCGAGCAGTTTTCGTAGATTAGGTCTTGAGTAGTGATATGGTTGTTTGTTTATGTTGTTATAGTTGGTTTTCTCTATTACGCTTGAAGCTGATTTATATTGTTCTGATTGTTATTAGTTTTTATGTCAAATCTGTACGTTTAGTGGCAATATGGAACTAGCCCACTGTTTGTCTTTTATTTCCATGGATGATGTGATTTTTTTCCTTAATTTTGGCGTGTTGTTCTATTAAAAGCTTAATAACTCAAAATCTAGTGATTTTATCTGAATCAAACCTTATACCAAAAAAAGCTTATAAAAAATTGAATCAAAGCTTTCACAAATATACAGTGTGATGCATTTGAAATTTTTGAGAAAAAGTACAATTCGCATTTTTGAACATCCTGTATGAGCAAAAATGAAAATTCGAAAAAGTAACAAATAAGATAAAAGCTGAGGTGTGTAAGCTTTTTTTTCAGCACTCCAAATTTCAAAATGGCGATTGAGAGGTTGCCGAAGTGCACAGTTTTTCTGGACAAACTACCTTACATCTCAGTAGCTAATTACCAAAATTCCATAGTATGTTATGTCAATTTCCTTCTTTTCAATTGGTTTATCCAAATATGCAATCAAATTTGAGGCATTCCATAAAAAAAATCACAACTTTGATATCTAGGTCAAAATTGTATAATTGAGAATTATTAAGAAATGTGCCCTAAAATGTCATGTATAACATCTCATAAGTATATTTTCCCAAAATGTATTTGTTTATGAGTAATATTCCGTCCACACATGGATAGGCCACCCATCCTGATACTTCCTTTGGATTGTCTTCATTAGCTAAAAACATTCTGAAATATGCGCATCCGTAACAAGCATTCAAACATTCGGTGAAATGCATCACGTCTCATGGCTGTTGTTTCTAATGAGTAGCTATTAAATATTATCACGCGAGCATTTTAGAACTTTTTCAAGAACTTGGACGAAATGGAAGCGCCTGTTTGATTATCGGATGTCATATGGTCGCGTGTATTTAATACGATGGCAATTATTTTGAAAAACAGTAAACATTTTATCCATATGACGAAACCTATCTCTATTCGTCATTGTCTGTCAGAGCGGTCTCTAGGACCTTTGCTCTTGGTTCAAGTATCGCAAGTCAGTAGGTCTGCCAGGTTCGCGCGTCTAATAACACTTTTGTATAACGGTATAACCGATCAAACTTAATTTTGAGGTTCTACGTAGCATAGGGTAGTGTTGCCGAAATGTAATTTGGAATTTGGTTATTAACGGTTGAGTGTGCTTCGGCCAGGTCATCCTTTTATTAAGAGTGAAACCAAGATACCTGGCAGAATTTTCCAATGATACGCGAATTCCGCTCATTGTTACCGCTACCTTTTTAGCACAATAGATAGCCTGCATTTTTGAATGATTAATTTTGATCAGCCACCGATCCGTCTATTCCAATACCTCGTCTACCGCACAGTGTCATTAGCATAGAGATAGACTGGGTCATGAATAAAAAGCAAATAAAGGATTCGTCCAAGAACCCAAGCCTAAGGGCTCCGACTCTGATGGGCCGTGTTGTCGACAGAATATAATTTTGACCCGAAATTTCATATCTTCAAGGAAGATGACGAAATTTGTGGCATGCCCTATGATCTTATTTGCTATGACAATCGCTGAATTGAGCGACTATTCTTTTCCCAGAAATTGAAGGAATTGACATTGACGGCGATTAGAATTTCCATCGAAACTATGCATGTATTGAGCTGTTGTAGAAATATGACTTGGTGCATTCATATCACACGTCTTATATACTTTTTGCAGCATACCTCTAGTTAATTTGTTGGTTATAAAAATACTCACAATGTCACCTTCTTTCATCATACAGTGCAAGTAACACTTGAAATTTTCGTCATCTGCCCATTTTCTGTGATTGTTGACATCCTCTTTGATAGCTGAAGTAGAAAGAAATGCAAGATCATACTCGTTATTGGTTAGTTAACAATTTTTTTAAATACAAAAAACCTGACTACAGTAGCGGAAAAGAATGAAGTTTCAATTCTACTGTCAAGAGGAATCTAAGGACAACCCAAATGTTGAAATAGGAATTTCAAAGATACACTTGCCATCCAAAATCCACCATTTTTTATAGCTTAACCAGCGCCACTCGCACTGTCAAAATTCATCAAGCTGTTCAAGGTGTAGTCCATGAAATACAAGTTCTAATGTTGACATTTTTTGGTTTAAAATCTGTCATTTTGATTTAATAAAATTTTAGTGTACCTCACTGCTAAGATGAATCCAGCAACACCTCATATGTCAAAACCCGTCAAGCTGTTTGGCGTGTAGCCTGTGAAATATAATTTTTTGGATACATCGTTACATACCCAAACGCGGACATTTCCCTTCTCCCGAGGCAGTCGGTAGAAAATAAATCTATTCATCCAGCCAAAACATTAGATAGTCTACTATAATACGAATTTATTTCCATATACCCGCGCCAATAGTACATCCCTCCTTCTAAATCTTGGGAAACAAAGTTAAAACGTCCAACATTAATCAGTATTACAATTTTATTATAAAGTAACCTTTAAAATGATCGTGGGCATATACACTAGAAGTAAGTATATCACGAGTTGCACAGTAAGTATTTGATACAAACCATACCTAGGTAGCGTAAATAAACTAAACATAATATTAGAAATGTTATAGCTGCTTTAAGGAATTATCTCTTTTTACTACAGAAATTTGGCGGATATAGCTTTTATGATCATTACTTTAATTCATTTCAAAATAAATTCGGCAGCAGCTTATTAAATTAAATAGGTACAGAAATTTACTTACATTCATCGAATGGAAATTTGTTGACACACTCATCAGCCAAATCCTTTATAACTTTCAGCATTTCATGCTCCGAGTAAATAGCCTTTAAGGAATAATAAAGTATTTTATAGTCGTATCATTTATAACATATAAATTAATCTGATTCTGCGAGGTAATGAAGTTTTGATATGTGTATCAATATTTGAAATTGATGTCTCTTACCTTTACGTAGGTGAGATATAGCAAAAGGAGAGCACAGATTTTCAGAATCATCGTAATGGTTTGAAAGTGACTACTTCAAATCATTCAAGTATTTATACTGAGTTTTAGGAATAATTCATTTCCTTTCTCGTGTACTCAGTACATTATAACAATTTTGAGTCAATGAATAGCAATTAGCTATAAGTACTCACTGAGCAAATTGATCATGAAATTACCGGGCACGCTTGAATGAGTGAAAGAATGATAAGTTGGTTAAATGATATAATGTACTCATTACTAAGAATAGCAATATTAAATTATATAATACGAAGATGTCACAGCTGCATAATGCATTGTCTGATTTTGATGAAAACCGTCGAGTAGGGATGGTATCCTTTTATACTAGGAAATAATCCTGCAAAAGAAAAACATCATAGTTCAGTAAAAATCAGTTTGTCTGTATAAACATAATAGGAACATTTGTATTTATCACAAAATAAAACAGCTTTATTTATTGGACCATAAAGTTCATACAAAATGTATAGCAAGTACATGAAACTTTAGAATAGAATTTTCCGAACTCTGGTTTGTGATATGTGATATCTTTGATTGATTTATTAGCTTCTGAGTTGTGTTGCGTCGCTAAGATACTATAATTAGTTGCTACGTTGATCAATATTGATCAGTAAAATTCAGTTTCTGTAGGTACTTGTCGGAAGATTGATATTATCCAATACTTACGTCTGGTGCTTCAGCCTGGTAGCATTTGTGAGTCAGCCAGGCACTTTCACAAGGAGTTAATCCTTCTGTAATCATAATGTTGATATTACATTGTTGATGTTGACTGGGTAAATAATAATATTTAGGCCAGGATCTTTATCGCTAATGCTTGATTGCATATTAAAATACCATCGCTTTTCCTTCGAGGCAATCAGCAAAGAAAGAAAGTTTACGATATTTAACGATATGAAAATGGGAATACTTTGGTGTGCTATGAGGAAGGATGAGTGGCAGAAGAGTTCCATAAAGAAAAAATCCCATGAAATCACAACCTGATAAAATAATTTGGTCTAAAATTTTAGGTTAATAGTCAACATCCGTCAGGATAAGATATTAGGCCCCATTTTACTATTGATCCGCGGGAATGAAAATTTGCGTCTTTGGAGCCATTGGACGAAGGAGAAGGCATCCTTGAAGTAACGGATCTAATGAATGGGTTAGTAATTCTCATATTAAATCAAGAAATACTGCATATATCACATGATTCAGCTACGAAAACCGATGCTTCATTTGTTCCTGGAAAAAAAAAATTGACGCAAATTGCACCAAATAAAAAGGATTTGCGTATAGTCGCAAATTCGACGAATCTAAAAGGATTTTTGGCCTACTCAAAAAATGGATTAAACCTGATACAATAGATTGACATGACGCAATTACTGAACATTTTATTGGAAATAATAGTGTCTCGCTGTTGGACGGTGGACGAGTGTACGTGCTACGAGTGTGGCGTAAATGCTGCTTTTACTTCGTATGCCAAAACTGGTTAGGAAATATTGAATTCAGGAAAAATTTCGAAATAGATTTATTATGTTTTTTCGATGTTACATGACATGTACAATACGTACAACACGAACCATGTCACTTATTTCCGTCGGTATGTCGCATTGCCTGCTAATTTTATAACCACCTCTAACTTGACAAGTTCCGCTCGGATTTTGATTAAATTTTCACATAAAGATTACTAGTATATCAAGGATGAAAAAGATTTATAGTTTACTTCGTTTTCTGACATTTCACAGGATCCTGATAATTTTCGGACCATTGTTTTAGGGGTTGAAACTTGGCGGGCTGGGCGTTGTAGGGGGTTGTAAATGTAACGTCAAATATTTCTATCATCAAGAAGCTTCTGATCCCGGTAACAAAGAGAAAATGAAACGGTAAAGGTCCGATATGTAATGTAATAATTTGAAAATAACTTTGCATTCGTTGGCATTGCGTGCACGTCGTGATGCTGCATCCTCGTGGGCGCCGCTGCCGAATGTGCAATTTGTAACAAACTTCAACTGGTATGTGGTGTTGTCGTCACTGATACACCACTACAGGAGAAATATGTGGATATTAGGAGTACGTACCACTTTTATTTTGTGAATTTTATGATCCTTAAATGTTTCACCCATTTCGCCTCACCTTTAATTTTTGGTACTCTGACTATGATGGTTTTCTGAATATTTTGTCAAGTAGATTGACTCAGTAGTTATGACGCATTGATATGCAACAGATATGGACTGACAAACCGATATAAATAAGAAACACGGTCCTGTGTGATGCAGGTATCTCTTATTAACAGAAAAGTTATGACCCGAAGTTGGAATATTATCGCGGGTTTAATATTTCCATCGTTTAGGTAGACGTAGGTTTTGAAAACTGATTCAGAGGTGGCGGAGATAAAATCGCTGGAACATACTCGTAGTGTCACAACGTTTCAGAGATTCCTGCTCATTTTCAGGCATTGTTTGGAAGGAATGAAAATTTTAGGTTAGAAGCTATTTGATGTCTGTGAAAGACCTTTTATTATTAAGCTGGTAATCTCACTGATACTATACACTTGTTGGACATAATAAGTCGTACATATTTTCCCTAGATCTGCCATACAAATAGAAATATGATAGATTTCTTTATATGCAGAATTCTAAGATTTATCGTACCTAAATGGACCTACTTAATCAGCGTCCGATTTCGCACTTGGAAAGGTTTCTCTGGAACCTCCAACGAAGGCTTAGGAAGTATAGAGTCAAGCTACATTGCATGGCCATGGCCACTAATTTAGTGACTGGATGCAAATAGAAATTTTTTTGTAGCTGAGCCAAGTGATTTATGACGTATTTCTTGATTTACCATGGGAATTAGGGGCCCATGTTACACAAACAGTAGTAAACTAGTTTTTACAAGAAATCGACCATATTCATTAGATCCGTTTCTTCAGAGACGCCTTCTCATTGCATGAACATTGTTCTAAAGGGGATTAATTTAGGCGATTGGATATAGTTCTTTACAAAAAACGTACTTATTGTTCCACACTTTCGTACAATAGGTGCTGCCTTGTCTCGGTATTCATCTGGCAATACTGCTATGGTCGCATCTTCATCTATCGTTCCATCGTCTTCTATCTAGAAAAAAATTGTGTTACATTCAAATGGACTACGTCCGTGAAGTAGTTATACTCACGCATGCCATCTGTGCCATTAGGCAGAAAATGTAGCATTTGAAGTTGTCATCGTCTGCAAATGTTCCATGCCTGGCGTTGGCGATATCATCTAAAAAAATAGATAAGTCAAAGTTTTACAGAACACGTGAGCAATCTTGAAAAATCATTATGAACTCACATAATTAAAATCATGCCTTCACTTTTATGATACATATACTATGCAGAATATTCCTGTCAAATAACATTTGAACAACAAACTGAAGGAGCACCGTTTCTGTCGTAAAATAAACTTTGTGACAAAGAAAATAGGACACCCAACAAAATAACTTGATTCCAAAGAAATTGTATATACATTTAGAAGTGAGCAAGAGAAGGTCATGATTAAGTTTTGAAGTGGAAAATTTGAATGCGAACTTCGTGCACTATATATACTCTCTAGTTCATATTCGAGGCGGTATGACCACACATCTTCTGCGATTTCCGAAACGCTTGAGAACCCTAATTTGCAACAAGATAATGCCAGTTGTTTGAAATTTGAAGACAAGGTGGATGTTTCAAAAGATTTCTTTACCATTGTCTAGAACAGAATTTGAACATTTCACAGAACGAGTAATGAAGGTACCTTAACAACAGAAACGTCGTGTAACGTACATTCTGTGCTAGACAACAGACGTCCGAAATAAATCTTTTCGAAGATAATGCCCATCCCGTATAGATACAATGCACTGTTTCAATAACGCACGAGACAGCCACCTTCGTTAGCCTCCTAGACCTATAAAATTTTCTCCCATTGCTCATTTGAGGTATATAATAGGAAGAATAGTGACCTCTTCGCCCTATCCTCCAGAAACACTAGCAGCTCTTCAGAATCAAGTACAACTAATTTGCGATGCGATACCTCAAGAAGACCTAAATCACCTCCTCAGATGACTGGACGAATGAACGCTGTCGGGTTGGCTCGGTACTTTATCAGGAAAATATAGCGATGCAACAAATATTTTTAATTTAAAGACTTCCCATTGTTGAAGGGTCTTTTTTACAAGCTTTTATTTAACTTGACCTGATTGTATGTGTGGGCCAAATCTTGGAACTGAATTTTGAACCAGTTGACTTTAACCAATACAGCTGAAATTTTGTACACGCGAGAGAAACGCAGTTAGCAAAGTGACGTCATTCTAAATCCAGTATGGCGTCCGCCCCAAAATGCAGTTTATAATTTCGTAGTCACCTTTACGCTATATGTATCAAATTGAATAATATACTAAGTGACATATAAATCCGAACACCCAGTTTAAATGGTTTTATTTTAATAAAATTTTGTATAAGTACTTAATGAGGCATAATAAATAAATGATAAAAATTTCAAAATGATTGCACTGCTTTAAAGCCCTTTAACCTTTAATAATGTGTAGATGCACCCTGATGTGCTACGCATTCTCCAACGCGCCTAGACATGCTTCTGATCAGGTGGTCAATGTCCTCCTGTGGTATCTCATTCCAGTAAACCACCAACTCCTCTCGAAGTGCTTCTAGAGTCTGAGGAGGACGTTGCAAATTGAGCAATCTCCTACCCATCATATCCCACACGTGCTCAATTGGGGATAAGTCGGGAGATTTTGTGGTCATGGTAACAATGTGACATCATTATGTTGAAAGAAGTCTATTGTGACTCTTGCAACATGTGGTCGGGCATTATCTTGTTGGAAAGTTGGATCTGCCAGGGTGTCAAGATAGGGTAAAAGATGAGGTTCTAGAACTTCGTGGATATAACGCTGCGCGTTCATGTTACCTCTGATGAAGATTAAAGGTGACCTGGAACCATAAGCTATAGCACCCCAAACCATAACTCCAACAGTGTGATGAACATGTCTTTCAACAAAAAACTGTGGATTCCTCCTTTCACCACGGGCTTTAAAGCAGTGCAATCATTTTGAAATTTTTATGATTTACTTATTATGCTTCATTAAGTACTTATACAAAATTTTATTAAAATAAAACCATTTAAACTGGGTGTTCGGATTTATATGTCACTTAGTATATATAATAACATAACAAGCAAAGTGACGACATTCTAAATCCAATATGACATCCACGCCAAGATGGCGTTTATAGCTACCATAGTTATCACTATCATATAGGTATCAAATTAAAGGGCCTTATGAGATAAGCATAACAAGCGAAGTGATCTTATTCCTAAATCCAATATGGCGGCCGCCCTAAATGGCGATTTATAATTTCCAGTGCTATGATATGAGAAACACAATAAGCAAATAAAGCCATTTTATATTCGATATGGTGTTCTTCGGAAAATGTGGATTTATCATTATAATTATTATTAATATTATCATTAGCACTAGAACAGTAAGCGGAAAAGTCCGATGACAATGTTGTGTAAAGTCTTTTTTTTATGCTGGATTATCTACGAAGCGTGGTGCTCTCTCTTCTAGTCCCTTAACCAGCTTATTGTTGAATAAATTGATAGTTATTGCACCCACTGTCTTTTCACTAAGAGAGTTCCACGAGATCACCACACGATTTGAAATGAAATTTCTTATCAACTTAGATGTCCTCTCTGTTTCTAATTTCTTGGTATCCCTTCGGAGATGAAGATTCTGACTCATATTGAATATTAGAAGGGTACATGAGCAGCAGCCACTGATGATCTTGAATGCCTCAATTAGGTCACCTAGTAATCTTTGCTCACCGAGTGTAGTCAAATTCATAGCCCTTGGACGTTGTTCTTATGGCAAATGTCGAATCTCTGGTGACATTCGTGTTATTTTACGTTGGAATATTAGCTGTAGTTCAATGTCTTTGACAAAATAGGGACTCCATACGCAGTCTGCATGTTCAATTCTTGGTCGATTGTACACCTTTTCTATCATAGCAGGAGAATGGTTTTTAACATATTTTTCAATCAAACATATATCATTGAGTTGACATTTTTAATCTTGTTGGTAATGTGAGCATCGCCTTTTTGAATTATAATCACAACTCATAGGTCTTAGTGGTACTGTTTCAATTTCCACCTGACCCTCGTACTGTAGTTTATATGAGGATTTGTCTTTCCAATATGAACTATCGTGCACTTTTCTGCATTGAGTAACACTTTCCATTTCTCAGACCATTCCTATATGGCGTGTATGCCCTTTTTAATTTCGATTCTCTACTGCAGGATTTCAGAATAGTTTGCTTTTTGCTTTTATATCCGTTAATTGATCTGACATGTTAACAAGAAAGAGAAGAGGTCCAAGTACAGAGCCTATAAGATTTAGTTTTATCGAAATTTTATAATACACATAAAGTAAGAGCTTTTATGGAATCCTATTAATGAAACACATGAAAATTATATAGACATTAACAAGCTAGTAATTCGACAAAATTAATACTTAAAAGTAAATAGTATGCAAGATAAAAAAAATACAATAGAAAGACGTTTACGTCATTCCAAACATGGTTCTGTGTACTCTGAAAGAGGCTACTATTTTACGAACAAGTGCTCAACAATATTTAACACTTGTGTAAGATATAAGAGTAATAACACTATAAGCCTATTTACATGTTAACTCTGCTTGTACGATAATAATATTTACGTTAATAAGGGTTTGAAATCGGATGTTGACATCTTAAGTTTACAGAAACTCCACTAAAGATATCGACGCATATTCAATTTTGTATTGCCCTTTCATGGCTTGTTCCATTCACCACAGTTAACAGTCAAAATTATGAAGCTGGTTATTTTTGCCGAATTTTTGAATCGTGTGAATACGAGTCATTTGGTAGCATAGGTGCTTCAATTTTCAGATGAAGATAAATTGGTCCTCAGTCTCATCGGTAGCAAGGGTACTCCTCAAACAAAAATACTGTAGAGACGTAGACTGACCAATTTGGTTGTAAAATCATAAAAAAAAATATCAGTCGTTCGAATATAACATAAGCTACCTGACCTTAATCGTTAATCTAAAGTACACTCACCTCTTTGAGACAGCTTAAACGAACGAAAGCTTTAATATGCATGTTAAAACAATAGGCCAGATATCCGCAAGTATTACATTGAATTGCGTATAAATATTAGTATCTTGCTTCTCACTTAATTACTCTAAAGACTTGTTGATATTAATATTTAGCGTTTGTCACTCAAGACTATTATCTACTGGTTTCTGTGTACAAATTACTCAACGAGTTCATTATGTGTGGGAATATCTTAAACACCGTGAGCACAAAAGTTTCCGCTGATTAGTTTACTTAATCAAGCCGTTTTTCTATTGTAGTATACAGAGTAGAAGTATTCCACAACGCATTGTTTTGATATCTTTACCATACTCAAATCGAAAATATTTGGTTGACTTACTAATCTTATTCCTATTGTTTTGGCAATTTGAATTGTTGACATTTTGGTATATATACATCCTTCTCAGAAAGAATAAATAATATAAAAAAATACATCATTATAAAAACAAGCTTTTATTTAGCTTCAAAAAATGAAGTGAAATTTTAAAAAAGGTTGATTGGGAATATTTAAACGATCATGAAGTTTTTATTTGAAAAGTTGAGATGAAGGAGATTCATTATCGTTTATATACTTACAATCGGTAAAAATTATCAGGCACTTTCATTTTTAAAGATTGATAAACAAGTTGTTTCTATGAAAAAAATAGAAAAAAGGTTAGGTTGATACAATAAGTGAAAATCTACGTTAATATATTGATCTTTCTCTCAAATCAATATCTCTGATTTTCATTGTCAGTCAATTCGTATATCGGAAAATTAGACATATTCGGTTGATATTTTAATATATCGGTCGATCCCTATAGACCAAGAGCCCGCGACGGCCAGACCTTCCTTATTTTATAAAACCCGAAAGTTTCTCTGTGCAAGGCTCCAAAACTGGTAGGAATGATCAGAGATTATAAAATTTAGGTAGCAAAGGTATATAAAATAGTACATCAAATTCATTAAAGCATATAGCCCAGTTCTTTGATATATTCCGAAAAGACGTCATTCATGTAATCAGTTTACACCCTGCCAGACGCTCACAAACTTTAATGGATTAGAGTTAAGCTTGCGTTATAGTATGAAAACTGAATTTTATACAGGGTGTTTCAGTTTATTGTTGCATAACTTTAAGATTCGATAGAACTCTTAAAATGAATGCATAAAGTCTTCCGAAATACAGGGTGCTTAAATTTACTTTCTAAAATAGTTTTTTTTTAAATATTTCGAACAATATTTGATGTATAACAGTGAAAATTGGTATACAAGGGTTTTTTTGGTACGACAAAAAGAACCATGGGCATAGTTTTACTGTAGCCGCTAGAGGGCGCTCTCTACTGTACCTGTAGTGTATTAAAATGACCGAAAAATTTTTCTTAGTGCAATTTTTTGCTTTTTGAATAAAAAAACTGATTCTTCGCACTTTTCAACATAAAAAAGCTCTCTTGTGAATTTTCGTTATAGTTAGCCGTTTTTGAAATACTTCGAATTTTAAGGTTCGATGCATTTTAAATTATTTATGATAAAATAACGTTAAAAAGTCAGTATCTCGATAATTTTTAGAAGTAGGCTATGCCTGCAAATATTTTTGAAATTGAAAGCAGAATAAGGTTAAACGTCAATTAGTTGACAGTTAGTTTTGTTGTCTGTTGAAACCTGAAACGTTTTTTTGCAATTGTGAATGCACAAAATTTAGTTTCTTTTACCTGTTTTTTTTCTAAGTTTTATAAAAATGCCATTTTTATTCTCCAATCAAGAGTTAGCGGATATTCATTTTGTGTATGACTTTGTAAATGGAAACGCAGCAGAAGCAGCCAGAGAATACGCACGAAGATTTCCAAATAGACGACATCCAACTCGCTCAGTATTTGTAAGAGTGCATCGCCAAATAATTGAAAATGGTTTTGGAAATCTCCAAAGGGATCAAAACATAAATGTTCGTCAGCGCAGATTTACCCATATGATTCTGCGTGAGTTTGATAGAGATCCGACCACAAGTGTTAGGAGAGCTTCTGGTGCCTTGGGAATTTCAGCAAGCCATGTTTACCGTGTTCTTAGAAATGACCATAGACGTCCTTACCATTTGCAACCTGAGCAAGGACTACAGCCAGGGGACGGAGAACGAAGAATCACATTTTGTCAGTGGATTCTTGATAGAACTGATAATAATAGGGAGTTTTTAAGTAACGTTTTATGAACCGATGAGTCATGCTGCACTAGACGTGGAGTGGTAAATTTTCATAATCAACATATTTGGTCGCATGAAAATCCGCATGCAGTTTGGGAAAGAAATTTTCAGCATGAATTTAGTGCGAACGTGTGGATTGGTATCTACCGTAATCGACTATTTGGACCCTACCTTTTGCCTGCAAAGTTGAATGCTGCGACCTTCTTGGAATTTTTAAAGGCTGAACATGCAAATATGTGGGATCATGTTATGTTAGATTTAAGAAGATTGGCCTGGTTCCAGCTTGATGGTTATCCAGCTCATTATTCGAGAATAGTTAGAAACTGGCTGGACGAAAATTATCCAGAAAGATGGATCGGCCGTGGAGGACGAGTCGCCTGGCCTCCACGATCCCCTGACCTAAATCCATTAGATTTCTTTGTGTGGGGATTTCTAAAAGAAAAAGTGTACCAGACTCCCGTAACCACAAGAGATATGCTAATAGACAGAATCAGGAATACATGTGATGAAATAAGGCCTTATTTGAATAATACTATACCACGTTCGATCATTCGTAGATGTGAATTGTGTATTGAACAATTGGGTTTACATTTCGAGCAACTACTTTAGATTTTGTATGTTTGTCCTAACTATCCAATAGCATTTTAGTTGTAAATAATTAATTTAATTTGTTAAAAATAATATTGGAAAATTAAACAAATTATATTCCGTTTTTTGTGTTTATTTGGAGTTAGGAATTATTGCTGTGTTTAAAAACACAATCTAAACGATCATCTTAATTACTTGTAATGGCCAAATGGAAAATGTAAAAAAAAAATATTATTTTCCCATAAATAATTAAAAATGCATCGAACCTTAAAAATCGAAATATCTCAAAAATGGCTAACTATAACGAAAATTCACAAGAGAGCTTTTTTATGTTGAAAAGTGCGAATAATCAGTTTTTTATTCAAAAAGCAAAAAATTGCACTAAGAAAAATTTGTCGGTCATTTTAATACACTACAGGTCCAGTAGAGAGCGCCCTCTAGCGGCTACAGTAAAACTATGCGCGTGGTTCGTTTTGTCCACCCAAAAAACATTGGTATACTAATTTTCACTGTTATACATCAAATATTGTTCGAAATGTTTAAAAAAACTATTTTAGAAAGTAAATATAAACACCCTGTAGTTCGGAAGCCACGCATTTTTCGACCCATATTTATATAGACTTTATGCATTAATTTTAAAAGTTCTATCGAATCTTAAAGTTATGCAACAATAAACTGAAACACCCTGTATATGTTACTTGAGCTTGGCAGCTTTGATGGTTTTTACATTTTTCCATACACATTGTCCGCCGTAGATGCGGGCGCGAGGCCTTATACTCGGTGGATAACTCCGCTAGTACGCAAAATATCTAAAAAAGTTGAATATAAACATTGTAGCTAACTGCTCTACTAGTTCTTAGCTATAGACTCACCTTCTTTAGCAGATGTTTCCTCCACACACGTCTTGTGCAGCATATCCGCGAGTTCTTGCATTTCCTCACTTAATCCCTTAAACAGATCTCGGTTAATCTATCAGTAACTCACTACTTAACTCCACAACTAACCATGGCTTTTGTCGCGAAACAAAAAAAGAGTAACAGTTTGAGTAGGCCATCCAAATGTGTCACCATTATATGTATTTACGTAAAGGTGGACAACACTGACAGATATTTCCTTTTTGCCCCGCTTTTATATTTTTTCAATCATAGGCGGTATATTATAGGTGCTGAGGTAGACTGTGAACTGATTAATTATAGTTGTGCATATTCACATCGTGAGTTTTGAGATAAAAATTGATAATTAGCTCATCATTATCGCATTTGTGATTGAAATTTTGCATCACGGAACCTAATAAAACAAAACATATACCTGACCTATTCGTGTATAGTGGATTCAAAAAATTGAGGTGTATCTGTATTATTTGACTAAAGCTATAACCGCAGAATAGAGTGAGTATCAATAAATCAAGTATTGCGGATTTTAAGAAAAATTAAAATAATGTACCTTGAATATGCATCGTGTACTCGTATACTTGTATTTATTTTATAAGAAAATTTATTATAATTGCACAATAAGTTGTTCTTATATTTGTCAACTTTCATTCAAGACAGTTGAAGATGATTTTGGGTAAGAATGACATTCGTGGCACATTCTTTAATATCCATTTTCGTTGTTAACATAGCCGGAAGAACCTACAAACGTGTTTTTTAAGCTGCCCATAATTTATTTTCGCGTGGTATGGAAAAGCGGGACAATTTTACGTTCCCAGCACTTTTTTCTTCACCGAAGCAGCCGCGCGGGCAGAGTCCTAAACGCCAGGACACCGCGGCTGCTATTAGGATCACAAGAAATTTTCTTGATCCAATTTCTGAACTGCCTAAGGTTAGTAGAACTGGGAAAAGCTTCCTTCTGTAGATTGCTTCGCAGTCTTGATACCCTCGGGACAAAGGAGCGGTCCTATCGGCCAGTTCTGGATGTACGAAGGTAAACGCGGTTAGGGACAGCGCTCCTCTGGACAGCATCGAGCATAAATAATGTAGTTGGGGCGGCAGCACCCCAAACGTGTAGCAATACTCGAGGCTAGGTCTTATCTGGGCCTTGTATAGAGTGAGGAGGTTATGGAGAGGTACTTCTCAACCCTAAACAAATACCCTACCTTTTTTTTTTAGCCGAAATGTACGGCTCTTTGTTAGATCTCGGCCACCCATCGAAACCGGATTAGCGCTAGGGCGCTGCTTGTTAGTCAGGGTACAGTACTGTGTTTTGGAAGCATTAAACTGTAGCAGATTGTTGCTTCCTCATGTAGTTATAACCTTCAGGTCTCTCTTCTGAGAGGAAGTCATCAGCAAAGCTATGGATTGGGTTGATCGTACAGGAAAAGGAGGTCGTTGACATGTAAGAAGAACAGTGTCGCAGCCAAGACCTGGTAAACTCCCGCGTTGACGTTGTGGGATGAATTGGAGAACCCGTCAATTACTACGGATATCTTGCCGCCAGAGAGAAAGTCAGCCACTCATCTGAAAAGTTTCTCTGGAAGGCCGTAGGATGCAAGTTTACATAAGAGGGCAGTATGCTACAGCGGATCGAACGGTTTCGTGATATCAAGAGCAACGCCATGAGCCTCACCATAAGACTGGATGAGTTTACTCCACAATTGCGTGACGTAAACTAGGAGGTCCCCCGAGGATCGCTGGTACTGAAAACCATATACTGCCTGTCGTTAATCCAGCCGTGATGTTCGAGGTAGTCCAGAAGCTTACGATTTAAGTACCTCTCCATCACTTTGCTAATAACAGAAAACAGAGCTATAGGCCGACAGTTGTAGATCCTTTTTTTGGGATGGGTTGGACATGAGCAAATTTCCAGTTTTCCGGTGGTGGTGGCGGATTCGTAAGATATCTGGAAGTGACGCGAAAGAACTGGGACATTGGGAGGGAGAGCATCAAAATAAGGACATGTTTGATGACATATGCGATGGGGGTCTGGATGATGATTAAGTAAGTTTGGTCGATTTTGATTTGAACAGATATGGCAACCCTGCTTGTCTATGCTCGAGACAGAAGCTCATATTGACGGATTCCCCAAATATAGATATGCTTACTTACTTTAGTTACTAATGCTCCTGGTAGAAATACGTATAATCGAGAAGAGTGCAAAATCACTCCTCTTAGTAGGGAACTGGCTGGTTTGATACTGCCTCACGATCATTTTGGATCTCATTTGCATGGACGTGTAATTACAATTAATGAAAATTTAGAAAGATCTAATTTAGAGATTGCCAGAAATGTATTAGCAGATGTATGGAGTTCAATGGACATATCATTTTACTGTAAAGTATGGCGAGCCAGATCTTAAATTTAATGGCGTTCAGAATATTTGCATGAAAGCCAATACTTGCTGCAAATTGTAAACTGTACCAGAGTATTTACATAAGCATGGGGGTAAGAGACTTGCTTACTTTTGCTGACAAGGTTGAGGGGGGTTAATAAACGTAAAAAGCCTGCTGACTTAATACGTACTGTGAGTGGCATGTATTCCATGATATACCTACGTGTCATGTAACATCCAAGAAACACGTCTGATTTTCGTTTTACTTCCTACGCCTCCTGACGAAATTTTGAAAGTAGCGTAACATGTTTTTTCGATGTTATATGACATTACGAAAAACCATGTCACGCATTTTCCGATGGTCTGTCGGTGTCTGTCTGTTTGTCCGTCCGTTATTCCTTGGTCCGTCTATAACTTGGAAAGTACCGGTCGTATTTTGATAAAATTTTCGCACAAGGTTACTACTAGACCGAGGACGAAAAAGGCTTGTAGTTTTTGAAAATCGGTCCAATGGTGGTGAAGAAAGGCCAAAACTGGACAAAACAAAATTCGCTCAAACTTCGTATCTTGGGAGTGGGAAGTTATAGGAGGTGGGGGAGTGGTGGGTTGTAGGGGGTTGGAGAGGATGTTTAATTTGTGGATGTTAATATATTAACACACTTCCAACCCCAATAATTCTACGCACCTATTAGACATATTTCACACGTCATAGGTTGCACCGCACATTTGCCCTTAAAACGGTAGGAAAATCTTTTCGACAAGCGAGCCTGCGTCTGCTGACTTCGACCGGCGTGCCGGTGTTCGTATGTGTCCTGCATGATTGGTGCTCTGTGGGTGCGCTGGACCAACTGTACGGCCCTGTTTGACGTTTTTAATCAGTTTAATTTCCCTAATATACATGTACGTAACTAATTTTTTTCTTAGAGGACCTAACTTAAACATGCTGCTTTCGTCCGTCCTATCAAAGACAGCCAATCACAGATAACAGTTTTTGGCAACTCATCAGCATGGTCTATTGTCGGTCTATAGATCAACAAACGAAAGCGTATTAAATATCCAGAATATAAGGTCTATGGCGCTGACTTATATAGATAGGGTCTAACTTGTGCTAAGTTCTTTATGGAATGATGAGTTCATTGTAGAGTCAACCTACTCGACTCCACTTTTGTTAAGTAAATTACGTCTAGATGAATCGTACGGACTTTGAAATATCAACTAACTGTCTTTCTACGTATCCGCCAACGAATTCTGTATTTCTAATGCCGGTGACCTCCAGTCCTGTCATGGGAACTCGTTAGAGTCTTGCTTCTCATTCTCAACTTTACAGTACGACTGTTAATTTGTTTCTAGGCTATCGAAACGAGTAACAATCCTTGAGACATTTTCCCTAGCTATAACACTACTAACCTTCTATTGTTGCACAGTCCACTTGTGCCCTCAAGAGGGGGAGGGCGAATCACCGCGGATAATTACCTTCCACCTCGATAAATAGGAAGAAAAAGTTTATCTAGGATTTGTTTTATCAGAATCTCCCTTAAACCCAAATTCTGCTTCGGTATGAAAAATATCTGAATTTTTGAAGTACTATATGTAAACAAAATATCTGCTGATTATTTCAGTTTAGCGGTATCATTTCATTTCCATGAAATTATTATACCATTATGTTTATCAGGCAGGTTCTGGTAACTTTACGACGATTCTAGACAGTTGGAAACAGTTTGACTCGCAGTGTCCTAGTGCCTGTCCTTGTCAGAGCGGTCCATAGAACCTTTGCTCGTGGTTAAATTGTTGTAAGCCAGTAGGCGTGTAAGGTCTGGGGTTGCATTGTTACCTGCACACAAAGTCATGGAGAAAGAATGGGAAAAGAAAGAAATGAAGGAAGGGGGAGAACAAGAGCGGAAGCACAAGATACCAGAGCTGCCAGACATTAACTATTTTCTCAAAGACAAAACTTAGGGCATTTATAAGTACTTTAAATGGGTCCATGTACAGTGTAAAAAAGGCCGAGACACGTCAAAAGATTTGTCAAGAAGGACAACTTTTTAACCAAAAACTACTTCACCCCCTTTCACCCTCGGCCACCCAGGGTCATTCCCTTAGAAGTTTTAAGTGGCAAGGGGTATCGAGTATCGAAGTCCTTTATTTTGACGTTCGAGTTTTTAAAATCAGTCGATCCGTTTTTGAGAAAATGAGAAAAATCTTTATTTATCATAATGTGTTCAGATAGAAATCAAAAGCACGAAAATATCACTTTTTGTTTCAATAAGTGATCAAAATGTTGCCCGTTAGGCTTTGCCAAATCTATAATTTGTGTATAATTTAAAACGGAAACTACCAACATAAACAGCAATTAGGAAGATTAGACGAGGCAACATCCAAATAACAACCAGCATTTTTTCCGCATTCTTTTTATCAACACGGATATTTTGGGCGAACTGTATGGTTATACATGTATAGTTATTTGTTACTAAGGGAAAGAAAGAATTTAATTTACTGTCAGTTACCTTTATGATAATCTTGCAATAGTGAAAATTAATTTATTGATTCAGATTTTACTTCCAAAATGGTTCACATACACACATTCTAATTTATGTGCTCGGCAAACTGCTGCCACATTTAACGCCAGACATCCGGGGAAGATAACTTCGCATAGGTATGTTTTGAACCTTGTCACTAAATTTACTCAAACTGTATCTGTTGCAAATAAAAAACGTGTTCATCGAAGAGTTTTGGATAAAGCTGCTCAAGTTGAAGTTTTGGGTCATTTTGGAATAAATCCTAATACTTCACGCAAACTTGTTGCTGCGACTGGTATTTCATTAGGCTCTGTACACAAACTCCATAAATTTCATCCATCCAAAACGAAAATACTGCAAGAGTTAACCGAAGATGATTTCGATGGGCGACAAATGACTGCAGTGATTAATGATAATTCGAGTACCATTCTTGTAAAGAATATCTGTTCCAGTGATGAATGTACATTTTATCTAAATGGATTTGTTAATAAACAACTGCAGGTATTGGAGCAATGAAAATCCTCATGTTTTTGTGGAAGGACATACCCAGTACCCCAAAAAATTAATGTATGGGCAGGCATTTTAGGAAACAAAGTGATTGGGCCATTGTTTATTAATGGAAAATTGAATGGAGACATTTATTTGGATTTGTTGGAAAATACCATCAATCCGCTTATCACTATTGAAAACCAAATCGAAGAGGATGGAAACCCTATACTTGATGAGGCTGAAATATATTTCCAGCAATACGGCGCTCCTCCTCACTATGTTCTTCCGGTTCGGCAATGGCTGGACGACGAGTTTTCAGATAAATGGATAGCGCGAAGAGAGCCTATAAAATGACCTGCTAGATATCCTGATTTGACACCATTAGACTTTTTTCTCTGGGGCCATTTGAAATCTATTGTGCTTCACCCCAACCTGAAAGTTTCTATGAACTTTGTCAACGCACGATCGGAAAATGCCATATTTTCGAAAATATTCGTCTGGAATTTGAACATCGCCTATATCAGGCAGCAGCTGTGGCCGCAGTGGTAGACTCTAAGGTTTCCTGATAAGTCGCCGTGCGCTGCGCGGGTTCGAATCCCGTCCCAAGAGAAATTTTTCCCTTGGCTATGGATGTTGTGATTGTCCGTAGGTGGTAGACTGTCTCTGACTGTCGAAGGCGGAGGTACCTCCCCGAGGATCTCGTAGACGGGGCCAGAATGTGTGCATGTTGCATGCACACGTGTTCCCTCGCCAGAGTCCATGTGGAGCCCCCCTTTCCATTGTATCCCGCTATAGCCCCACGGTACCCTATGGGTGTTTATACCTTAGGCCTTCATTGTAGTTGGAGTATAAAAAAACATTGTTTGACCAATAACGGGCAACACTTTTTGAAATGAAAAGTGATATTTTCGTTTGTTTTTGTTTTCTATCTGAACAAATTAAGAAATACAGATTTTTCTAATTTTCTTGAAAACGAATCAACCTATTTTAAAAAATCAAACTTCGAACTAAATGACTTCGAAAGACCTTTCAAACAAGCTATTACTCAATAGCCCTTGCCATTTGAAATTTTAAAGGCGATGACCCTGGCGGGCAGAGGGTAAAAGGTGGTGAAGTAGTTTTTAGTTGAAAAGTTGTCCCTCTTGACAAATCTTTTGACGTGTCTTGACGTTTTTTCTTTTAATCAGTGGTTTTCGATGAATCCGTATTGGGAAGTTGACAAATGAACACCCTGTATACTAAGTTAGATAATGGTTCGATTTACAGATACCAGGTAAGAAAGGACAGTAAAAATAAGACTAATTTCACTTAAATTCTGATGGCTGATTTTTATATTACCTTTGTAGAACATTATTACTGACTAACATTCAGCACTGCCAGACACTTCCTGTAGTCTATAACTTGAAGCATGTTGGCATTGTGTAGCGTCTTACAACTGACATGAAAAGTATAATACCTAATCCTTCATTCTAAAGTGTCTGAAGTGATATGATTTAGCATTGTCTGGATGTATAAATGTGTATAAGGGTAGCCGATTACGATGCACAGGATAATGACGACAAATAAATTAATAAACGAGGTATATTGTTTTTATATTACAATGATGTTCTGTATGGCGAGAGGTACTCTAAATATTCACTTCGTCCATATACTATGGAAGGAAATAGTCCTGTAACAAAAAGTGATATTCAAAAATGTATTACTACAAGACGAAATCTTGGGTGACTGCTTGTATGTATATTAATAAAATTACAATATCTCACTCCTTCAAGTGAATATATTGAATAAAAGAACCATAATTAATAGAGAGTACCGGGCTTTATAGGTTTTGACGCTTAATCTGGAAGGGCTGTAGGAAATTGAAATTTGGTGTCCAAAAAATAGCAAATTTGGCCCTAGTCCTCTGAGTGGCTCCAGCTAGCAGTTTATTCAGTTTTCTGTGCTTATAGGACATACATGTTTGTATTTCAGCCTATTCGTTCGTCGAGGAAACTTTTTGTTTGTATATATATTTTATCTGAATGTACTCACAGCTGGCCTTTCTGCGTAGGCGCACTTATTTGTTACATAGACAATGTCACATGGGTCAGAACCACCTAAAACAATAATTAAGATAGTTGCGTTTCGATTTACTTGTTTCATGAGTAATAAAAATTTTCGATTTGATTATTAGGCCTCAACAAGGTAAGGCACATGACGAAAGTACCTATATTTGCACACTTCCTGAAAATTGGTTCCGCGAAATCTCTCATATCTTCTGGCAGGACAGCAAGAACTCCGTCAACGTCTATGGAACCATCATCTTCGATCTAAAATAACACATTTTATCAATAAGTTCTCTGTAAATATCTCTCTCTTATTTGTATAACAAACATGAATATAAAAATAAATTTGGTAACAGTCTCTGAAATATGAAAGTCGACAAAGTATCTTGAAAATCATTAAAGTTGTGCATAAAGTCATGCTAAATATGCCAATTTTTAGGCCCAAGCAGATTCTCATGGAAGGCCACGGCCCTTCTTCTCTTAGCTCCGCTCTGCAAGATGCCCTTGGCCCATTCGTTGGCATCACGTTTTCGATCGGTGATGGTACGACCTATACCACTAAATGGTTCTTACCCTTTTCAGAAATACATTATTCTTTTTTCATAATCATGCGCTATTCAATATAATAACAATCTACAGTTATACAAATAATCTATTTTCGAAGTCTAAAAAACTATTTTCAAAATGATTGCTGCGGGCATCTACTGATGAAATGCTAAGGCGTGCTAAAATATCAGAATCCAAAAAAGGGACGGGATTATTCGAAAGATCATAAATATACGGAATAGAAGCAGATAGATTTTCTCAATCAACGTATTTATTGAAAAAGTCTGATAATGCAAGTTTTGAATATACTCAATCCTTATTCAACTCTCCACGTAATGACCCCTAGGAATTTTGCCTGAATGCTTATTTGTTTCGATATAATTTTGTTTAATCGCCTTCAAAAGTCAGCTGGCTCCACCATCTTGGAAATTGGTAGTGGGAGAGCATCCGCGAGGGATATAGTTTGTAACTTGATGGATGCAGATGCTATTCTCAAAACCATTATGTCCCTGCATTCATTTCCTCAGCTATGTTTTCAATCTTAGCTTCACTCTTCTTTCACGCCTACTAGCCTACACTTGATAACCGTATCAAAGCGGCGTGTAGAAGCAAAAATTCCGTAAAGTCCTGTGTTTATGTACGTTACATAGCAACATTATTATGCAAAATATTTACAGTATATGATTGTTATCAAAAATACATACAATAAACAAATATATCAAAACAACACGATATTTTTCGATATAATTTTAGCTCAAAATATTTCAAGTAGGTTGACTCTGCACATCCTAAGCAATGCCATCAGTTCATAAATGGTTAAATTCAGCGCAATTTGAATCCTCTGAGAAAATAATCAGTTACGAACATGTATAACAGAAAAATCAAAACAAACAAAGCTGTATTGTCTTCGGCATAGTAGCAACCTTGTGTGAACATTTCATCAAAATCTGAGCGGTACTTCCAAAGTTATAGACGGGCCAAGGATTAGCAGACAAACAGTTTGACAGACAGACCGACGGAACTGAGTGACATTGTTTTTCTTGACGATCATGTCATACTACATCAAAAAAACACAATATCTCATTTTCGAAAATTTTCGTTCTTGGAGTTCTCATAAAAGTTTTTTTTAAACTCCAACCACCACGAAGGCCTAAGGCCTAAACACCAATTGGCGTTCCGTGGGGCTATAGGGGGATACAGGGGAAAGGAAGAACGCCACACGGACTCTGGCGAGGGAACACGTGTGCATGCAACATGCTCACATTCTGGCCCCGCCTGCGAGATCCGCCGGGTGGTACCTCCACATTCGACAGTCACAACATCCAGAGCCAAGAGAAAAATTTCTCTTGGGACGGGATTCGGACCCGCACAGCGCACGGCGACTGATCTGGAGACCGAAGAGTCTACTACTGCGGCCACCACTGCTGCCTGCAATGCGCTAGTGATTTTTAACTAAGGATTAAACTGATTAGAATAATCGCCCAGAAAGAATACGTGGCTTTTTTGACTACATAAATGTTACCATCTTATTCCGTCTATAATATTTTGCTTTAAATAAAATTTACTTACAGTTCCTATCTCAGCAAAAATACATCTCATGTAACACTTTAACTTCTGGTCCTCAGAAAAATCGCCTTTCCGTGCATTTATTATCAAACCTAAAACAATCAAATTAAGCTTTCATTCATTCTATTATCAGAACCATCATACTTTCGTCCACTCCTGTCTGTCCAACACATTCGTTGTGCAAATTATCCATGAGCGCCTGCATTTCCTCGTCATATGCCTGAAAGACAGGATGAACACTCGGTTAAGATATGAAAGCTCAATAGAAGAAATATAAAAAAAGGATTCAATTTTGACTGATTTTGCGACTAACCGAACTTATTTCACGATTATTTGAACAAGGTTATAGTTACAGTTTTAGATAAACATATTGACCAGCTAATTTGTAACCTATGTTTAGCAATGCGTGAATAAACTTCCGCATACAAAACTATCATAAATCTTGCTTGAAAGCGCTAATGAAAAGAATAATCTTACGAGTATCCTTTGGATCATTAGAAAATAAAACAGTTTAGTCGCAATGCGATACGTATCAATATTTTTGCAAGCATTTCTCAATTTATTGTGCTCTAAATACGTAATATGACGTACTTACATGGACAAGGGTTCCCGTTAAACATACTCCTAGGAAGAGTAATACTTGGTTCAACATATCTCCCACCAAACCGTTGTTCAGTACCGACCGCCTAAATCAATTTTGCGACTGTTTCATTCAACCAGTACCTATTTTAATGTTTTGAGAATAAAAAAACTCCATTGCGGGTAATAAATATACCTTATATGTCATTAGTGTACCCTATAATATTGTAATTGGTTTATGTACGAGATGTCGTACATGAGACAGCGCTGTAAATAGAATTGGCTGAACCATAATTCTGTCGAATTTGAATGAACTCATAAATTAAAAGTTTTATTGGATTTTTGAATGTCCAATTGTTCAAGGTACTATTATTTATGTTTTGAGGCAATCATTATTTTGATAAAGGAGGTATTTTGTCTCGCCACCTTGTAACCTTATTGTTGTAGTAGCCGGAAACCTCGTGCTCCGGGGCTTAATGGTCGGTACTTTTGCGGACACCTTTGTTTAGCAAACGGTCTGTACCACCGAGTGCACTCAAATTCACTCAGCTACGGGCTGCCAGAATACTTCCGCCCATGTCTGGTCAGCGATGATTGGATGTATTCTGGCAGCGCGTAGCTGAGCTAGTCTAAATGCATTCGGTGCCGCAGAACGTCTGTTACGAGGTGTCGACAAGCACTTGAAGTCTTTAGACATCCCAGATCTCATGGTGTTAGTAGTCGAATATTGCTCAATAGTTTAAGAGTATGTCCGGTGTTTCAAATTCTCACCATCGGAATCTTAGAAACTGTAAGAGATACGAAGTCAGTTAAATGAGGCAAAGTTCTGCATCAAGGAAGCTGAGAAAATGACACAAGTTTCACAAAGTATTTCCGTAAATAAATGAAAAAAAATTGGAATCAAAAAGTCTTTTTTCCCATCTTTATTTGAGGAGTGATTTCAGAAGAAATTGAACATCAACATTGCCAGGTTAGAATTTCAATTAGACTTTTAGTTTCTTGTTCTCGATCATAAACTTTATTTGTTAACACTGTATTGAATTTTTGTACATGTGAATAGCTTTTTCTAATTTCAAAAATGTAGGTATTAGATGCCATTAGAGGAGACAAGTTACATTCATTTGGAAAAACCGTATTTGCCCCAAAATTATCAGATAGTTATTTAATCTCATCGGTTTTCATGGACTGGGGTAAACCGTTCCCATTTCCAATGTTGATCATGTATATAACATCGAATGTCTAAAAACATTTTCTGTTGCTGTTCTTTCCTTATCGAATCGAAAACAACACAGTGATGACATTTTCTTTCTGCCTTATTTTTATTTAGGATAATAACGAAAATATTGAAGCAGTGCCACTTTAAGAAACTGGCAGAAGGCTGCTAAACAGAATTTGTATCCGTTATATCTAAACCGCTGCACCCATCTCTCATATAAGTAAGATCAGCTTAGGGCTGAAGTGTCATGTAGAAACGCTTCGATGTGCTGAAAATGCGCCTTTCATGATCGTTGAAGGTACAAATTATCTAAATCTTCTTTAAATACGTTTCTTAACTAATGAAGTAATATTTAGTTGCTGATATATAATGGAATACACAAGTGTTACACTGTGATTATGAAGGCCCAATATGAAAACATCATTTTTTTCAGTTCATATTCGGTGCATACATAGGGTGTGCTTATACGTTAGCATCTCGTCTACGGATAGAGCAGATAAAACAAAATATTTCTACCAATGCTTCCTTCAGCCATGCTTCCTCTTCAGTGATGTGTGCATTACACGAAGCTGTTAGATACAATTGATAAGTTTGATCGGAATTCCTTCAGACGCAGAGTCCATCAATTTCTTGAAAGGCAGGCACTTCCCACCATAGACGAAGTATTACAGAGGTTAATAGAGATGAAGACTTACCTACTTTCAAAAGCACTACATTCTATAGTTTACTCGAAGAACTTCATTTTGAGTATTGAAGACGAGGCAGAAATAGTATTTTGATCAACAGTCAAGAGAATATTTTATGGAGAAGAAATTATTTAAAATCAGGAAGGAAGATTTATTACTGGATAAATGCAGGTCATACAAAACCTAAAGTATGGGCTGACTCTACAATTAAATCTAACTGATCTATGAGCGCACGCTGAAAACTTAGCTACACTAAACTTAGCTAGGATCCACCACCTGTTAGATACTCTGCTTGTATTATTAGTTTTCTTGAATACTATATGAAATAATTATTTCCAGGAAAATGAAAATGATTTGTTATCTGTCACATTGGCAGTAAAGATGGTTTTGTGCCGACTGCTCTATGTGCATTTGAGTCAAAGAAAACGACGGACTACCATGAAGAAATGAACGGGAGTTCATTTGGACGATGGTTTGAAGAAACACTCCCAAAGCTTGACGACAATATCGTTAATAATGTTGCATACCACACTAGAACACTAGAAAAAATCAATGTCTCTTATCAAAAGACATTAGTTTGAATGACAAAATGCTCAAAGCAGAACTTATCCATATAGTCAGCCAGCACAAATATAAATATAATCTTAATATTATTGACGAAATGGCTAAGAACCAAAATAAGACTGTTTTAAGGCTATTCCCTTATCAGTGCGAATTAAATCCCATTGAAATGATTTGGGCAAATATAAAAAACTATGTTACTTCAAACAATAGAACATTCAAATTTAGTGACGTGAAAAATTTGTTTTATGAAGCTGTTAACACAGTGATGGCAAACCATTGGAAAGATTGCATCCGTCACGTTCAAGAGACAATCGAAACAAAGATGTGGGATCTGGACAATATGATCGATATTCAAATTGAACCTGTAGTAATTAATATTAACCATTCGGACGATGATTCAAGTACTTCCAACGAATAAGGCATTGTGAAAAGTATGTGCACCTCTTTCTATAAAAATAATTTATTTTGTTAGATTATTCCAAGACCATTGAGGAAAATACGGACCTGTACAATCGCGCTCTTGAGTATGTTGTATTGTGTCTGGGCGTAAATGGACTACGAATGTGGTATAGGAAAAAGACGTTGTTGCTAAGAACGGATTTTAACACATATGGGATGTTTCTATTTTAGCTGAGATCATTTAAGAGCCATCCCGCATCGGGACGCTATGGCGACGTCGTCAGCATCTGTAGCCAAACCAATCTGAGGAAATAGAGGGTCTCCCAAGACTGCGATGACGGGGTATTGCTCCTAAACAAGAAAGTTTCAAAAAAACGTTTATGGGTAAAATGGTAATATAAGTATTATTATAGTGATATGTGGTAGCTGTGTACATTTCAAGATTACAGGTCGTCACAATTTTGAACCACATATCCAGTTGATTTTTGATGGAATGGCCTATTTTCTATTACATATTCGGATAGGCCCTTTCAAAGGAAAAGTGGCATAACATACTTGTGGGTTCTGATTATTACTAGTTAGTTTTGTATTTATCTAAATTAACACCAACGTGTGACAACCAGCATATCTGCTGCCTGGAAGGTCGAGTAATGAGTTTTGTAGCAAAAACTTTTTGTTAAACTCTGTTTCAACCTAGTTCTTCCACTTGAATTGAATGTTTTGGATCAGACCGGTCAGACATTTATCAAAATATTCCACCTGAAAATACCTAATTAAAATGGGCACACGTTGCGGCTCCCTCCGCTTCGATTCAATGTACGTCGATGAGTTTATTTATTTTGTATGACATTGATACGTAACCGCCAAAAACCGTGAAAACACCTTTACAAAGGTCGCGTCAGATGGTGCATTGGTTCTAAGCTCTGGAAATAACCATAACCGGCAAATGACGCCATACGAAATACGTCACAAAGGTGAGCTAGTTCATAGCCACAAGCTTTATATTTCCCATTACGTGCTCTCATCCTTGACTTTGAGTATTCACATTTATTTGTTGTAGACACACAAGTATTGACCATCAGCACAACTGGCATCAAAAAGCTAAATATCTCTCTCAATTTACTTAGACGCTTCAGCTTGAAAGTGACTCCAATACTACGTCCGATGGGCAGATATCTAAAACAAAGTTAGTGTCCCTGTGTCCAACGCTGATTCCAATATAACAAACATGACCAAGGTCGTCATCACTCCCACGAAATAAAACGAATTACTAGTCTCATATCCGTATTGACGGATAATACACATGCAGGCATGTAATGATCATCCGTTTTGTTCGGAAATTACAACTGGTGATGGAATTACATTCAATTAGATAGGGAAATGAGTAGTTGTTTTTTAGATGCAACCAGCTATCAATGGTGGTTATTATAAACAGCTGAACTCTGCTTCTACTCATTCTAATTGAAGCGTAGTTGTTCCTTATTTCACTATACTTTTGTCAATGAACGCAATGTTACATTGCTTTTATTGATATGTCTGTCTATAAAAAACACATTCTGCACCTAGCAGTAGAGCGTGTAACTTTGCAGATTTGTATTCCTGACCATTGACCATTAATACCAATTCAAGTTGTAACCATGTCTGTCTGGCCAAAGAAACCACATGTACTTAAAGTTCTTTAAAGCATATGTTTTGGTCACAACGGTGTCCTTCTTCACTACATAACACTTTCTTGACAATATTTTATTTATCTGTCTTCCAGGTTACTGTTCGCCCAATTTGAAAACTCTTATCATAAATACAACGTTTTGGCGAGTTTAGACGCTATCGGGTATATGTGATTTTCAAAAACATTTTTCGGTTCTTCTCTATTTGAGTTTTTCTGTATCGCTTCAATCCCATCATTATTTCTGTTGTGACCCATTTTCAGCCAGGTCTATAGTAACCTTGCAGTTGTGTATTCCTGACCGTTGATACAAATTGAAGCTATACATTCTTGGAATTCAGTAAATTTAAAACATCTATTATAAATACATACGTTTCGGCGAGTTTAAACGCCATCTTAAGGTACATGTGTTTTTTAGAAAAATGTTTCGGTTCTTGTCTTTAAACTTTTCAACAACCTTAGAACGAAGCTGCCAATTTCTTAGCAATTGCCTTTGGTGAGAACGCAAAAGCAACGGTACCGAAGTCGAAATCGGTTTTTCTATTGGAGCAGCCGCGTAAGAAGAAGTCAAAATACCAGGGCACCACGGCTTAATCCGATTTTTAAACTACCTTAGGTTGGGAAAACCCTCCGCAAGTAGATGGTTCCACAATCTACATACCCTAGGGACAAAAGAGCGGTCATATCGAACAGTTCTCTGCATGTACGAAGTTTGACACAGTTAGTATGGGAGGTAGATAACAGGCAGGTCTGTCTGGCAGGCACATGGAGGAGAGCTATGAGGAGCAAACTCTATTGATATAGCGATAGAAGAGAGTTAGATCGCTGACGGCGCGTCGGTGCGAAAGGGTCACGAGACTGTCCGCTAGAGAAGAGTCATCGATTAGTCGGACAGCCGTTTTCTTACATCATAGATAATGTAGTCGCACCCCAAACATGTGAGCAGTGCTCGAGACTAGTCCTTATCAGGGCCTTGTACCGTTTATGTGGAGAAAAATACTTCTTAGCCCTAAACAGATATTTTCTCCAGCAGCTGCACCATCGGATGAGCACCAGGGCGCTTCTTGTAAGAAGAAGAATTAGAGATCATTGCTTTCCCGAGCGGTGATAACCTCCAGGTCTCTCGTCAGAGAGGCAGTCGCTGTTAGTCTTTTTTCTTCAGCTTATCGACAGGGATCAGCTTGTCAGTCTGCATATAGAGTGCTGTCATCACCAAAGCTGTGAATCGGATTGATCGTGCAGGAACGGAGGTCGTTGATATGTAAGCGGACAATGTCGGAGCCAAGACCGTTCGCTGGGGAACATCCGCGTTGACATTGTGAGATGAAGAGTAGAACCCATCAATTACGAAGCATATCTTGCGGCCAGAGAGAAAGTCAGCCGCACATCTGCAAAGCTTCTCTGGAATCCCATAGGATGGACGTTTGCATAAGAGGGCAGCATGCCGCAGATGATCGAAGTAGAGTTATCGTCGGCCTGCTTTTGGTGAGAATGGTTTCTTAGTCTTGGTGTCGATCACAATCTTCCGTCGTGGTATGTCAGCGGTGGAAGGATACTCATCGAGAAAAGTTTACTTCGACCAGCTTGATCACAGTTCAGAAAGACCGGCTGCCCTCTGAGTTGAACATAGTATCTGTCATAGTGATCTTTGGGAAAAATACTAGATTTATTAGGGTTGTAAAATGAAACGTATTGTGACATTTATTTATTTTATTTGTATTTAACACGGACTTTTTTATCTTGGGTTTTGTAACATCGTACATACAATAATCATTTTAAGCGTCATGTTCTCCCGCTTATTTAACACGAAAAGGTTTTTCAGCTTATCTTAAGTGTACACTTGAGACAATGCGAGACTTAATACCGTTTCTAAAGTACACATGATGAAGTATCGGTGATTGATTTAGTAGAATAGAAACAGTAGCAAGGCCATCATTAGAAAAAGGGTTGTCGCAGATCGAGATTTTATGGAAAACAGATGGCACTGTCCATATCTAGAATTACCACAGCAGGACTGTTTACATCATATTACATTTCTTTACAACATTACTTGTCCGGGATCCCATGTACAACAATGTGTCCCTTCAATGCTAATGCCTCTGAATTCGGCAACATGTGCATACATTCGAATAAGGTGACAAGTATGTCAAGATACATTGCTGGTCCAAAATTCAACAAGCTGTATGATTGAAGACAAAACATAAAAAGAATATTTAAATTGATCTAAAATTTCGGCGATAACCAATTTGCACTCATACATATGTGCTAAACTGCTGGGATTCTAGGTATGTACATGCTTATCGGTTGGAATTTCCGGAAATCGACATTTTAATAATAATCTCCTATTTTTTACAACTATGCTTACTTAAAGTACAAACATCAATGCGCATATGATGCGAGAAGGTTCATACAAAAAGACATAGATTAGCGTCGAAAGATCAAGATCAGTGAACATCATTTTGGTTAACTACAAAATGTCGATGATGTTCAGCATTATAACTAACTAGGTTCTAAGAAGACGAAATAGAAAACGCACATTTAAGATCTATATACAATGCTTGGTGTGTAGATACAGAGAGTCGTAGGAAATATACAGTGCAATAGTGTAAATTGTTGATAAGTTGGTTCTTTTGTACATTTCATATATACACGTAATTTACGTTACGTAAAATAAATAATAGTAAACAAGTTTGCAACATTATTTATCACAAAAAATATCCAGCGCTGACCTGAAATTGGAAAAAGTGGAATTAGCATTCAGAACAGACTAGGTATATAAAATATTTGTCACTTGTATTTCTTTTTTATATAGGAAACTGAATACACAATTTAAATGTGACTAAATTGAAGTAGGTTAAACAGTATTTCCCGAAAAATCCTTAAATAGTTTCAAGTTATTGTTTATAAATTGCAAAGCATTTTTGAATATTCCAATCATTTAACCTAAATAACAAGTTATTTTGAAAAGTACTTTGTTGAGCCCAGAACTTTTAACCCCATAGCTCAAAGATGTACTTTTTGCTTAATACCATGTACATCTGAACCAAAAAATACCTGTTGTTGATGAGAATTGAATTCAGCATACGTTACCATGGAAATGTTTATGGAGTTAAGCTCCTTAAATAGTGTTTTTTCTCGTAGGTAAACTTGACATCTAAAATGCCTCAGTTCAGGCCGGCAACAGATGATAACCAAGTGAGGCAGCCACCTTAGGAAGTATTGTCATGGGAGGCGCAAAATTGTTTTTCCACAGTGTACGAGGCAACAACTAAGAAATGTGCTAAAAAATAGTGTCAAGTAGGTTGACTCTTCACTTCCCACGGAACGTCGTCATCAGTTTCATAGAGGTTTATGTTTAGCACAAGTTGGACCCTATCGAAATAAGACAGCGCCATAGACCTAATATCCTGGATAGAAGATAGTTGCTATGCTTTCGTTCGTTGCCCCAGAGACCAAGCCTAGACCATGCAGATGCGTTGTCAAAAAAGCACGAAAAAGCTGTCAGTGGTTGGCTGTGCTTCGTTGAACGCATGTTTCAGTTAGACCCTCTAAGAAAAAAACTTGATTACGAACATGTCTAACAGAAAAATTAAGTCAAGTCTGGAAAATAGATCCGTACGATTAATCCATAACATTTTTAGCCTGCTTTACCCTTAGTACAGCTCATCTGGCAATGTTGCGTCGTCTCTCCCCAATATTTGAATGCACGATGCGGCTGACCCGGCAGAGCCCCACAGAGCATACACACGAACACCAGCACGCTGGCCGCGGTCATTGGAATCAGGAAACACATGCTTGTCAAAAACATACCGCTACAACCCCTGACTCCCCATTTTTCAAAATTGATCAAGATCATCCGACGCCACTGGGCCGATTTTCAAAAACTACAAAGCTTTTTCGTCCTTGACATAGTAGTAACCTTGTGTGCAAATTTCTTCAAAATCGGACCGGTACTTCTCAGGTTATAGATGGGCCAAGGATTAGCGGACAGACATACACACAGACAGACGGACAGACATACACACAGACAGATGGACAGACAGACCGACAGGCAGCTCGACAGACCGGTGGAAATGAGTGACATGGTTTTTCGTTATGTAACGTACATGTCATATAACATCCAAAAAACATAATATCTCATTTTCGAAGTTTTTCGCGATTACATACCTCTTCCTCGCCAATAGGAGTGGGAAGTAAAAGCGGGCCGATGATGGTAGGCAACTAGTTAGGCGCTTCTCTTTGTTAGCGATCTAATAATATAAACCGTAGTTCAATCCTGGATTTTCCGGGGTATCTAAATGATTATTATGCAACTAATGGTGCAGATATCCTCAGTACCAGTCCTTCATTGTCGAGAGTTCTAGACTGAGTGGTTGAAATTTATTGTGGTTTAGGAAGACTACATTTTAAGACAAAGTTATTTTTATCTTATAAAAAACTTGTTCATTACGATATTCAATAAATGCGTTATTGAAATTGAATTAATACATTGTCAGTATAAAGCTCATGTAATTTTTTTGTACCAACATGCTAGACGGTACATGTTTTATAATCATAATTTCAAAGGTCCAAAGTCGCCATGGGTGAAGTACTTAGAAGAAAAGAGTGAAGCAAAAAGCGTAACATATTCATGAGTTTATGCAATTCCAGGTAATTTCACGCATCGTGCGCTTAGTCTTGAGTGCGTAATAGAATTTAGGTTTTGTCCGTGTTTGTATTAGAAAACATGAATGAATTTCAATTTCTTTCTTACGATAGCGCACTGGATTTTTACAAAAGGAATATTACTCATTAGTGGCATATACAGGGTATCTCAGGATGTTTGCAATAACTCTTTGGGCTTTGGTAAAGCTATTTGCGACACTAATACGATGGAAGTGACAGTACAACACAGATACGTCTACAGTAATAGTTTTTAAAGACTGCTGCAGTAAGAAATACCTGATTGGTTTTTGCTTTTTGCATAAACAAATCAAGGGTTTTTGTCATAACTTAATCATTTATATGTAGTAAAGTAAAAATCGATGTTATTTTTGTTGTTTGATCAATCGGGAGCATATATGTATTTTCAATCGATAATTAGGCACGTACAATACCGAGCATAATATGGTAGGTTTTTTGTCAACGAGCAAAAGTAGATAAACATTTTGTAAATATTTAGTTTATATTTAGTCGTTGATTAGAATAGGTTTTATTTTTGAGTGTATTTGGTAAAGTGTAGTTCAAAAAACATGGTGTAACGCTTCCTTTCCGCAAAAAGTCCAGAAAAGATGGAATGCAATGAAGATTCCAACTTTTCTGCACAATCACACAAAGGGGGTTACAATTAGCTTCCGGTAGCTCAGTCGGTGGCATGAAGACATCTACAGGCGTGTAGCTGTGTGTCGACCATGGCATGGCTAGAGGATAGAAGAACAAACAGAACACAAAAATTTAACAGATTTTATTTAACAAAAAAAAAGGCATTTTCATTACATTACAATTTTACAAAAATAACAAAATAAGTTTTACATCTTTGGCGCTGCTATAACGCTATCGACTTATCTTTCGCTGGTCCATTTTGACTCAACTGAAGCCAGGATGGCCAGGGGCTTGAAGGGGAGGTCCCAGTTATGAGGGGTGACCTCCATATAGTGGCTTCACAACCAGTTGTAGGCGAAGTTAAAGGCGATGGCGCTGCCAAGGTACATGCATGGGTGAAAATATTGGCCAAGGCTAGGCAAAGTGAAAGGGAAAGAGAAAGGGGGTGGCCCCAATCATTTTTGTCCTATACGGACACACATTCTAGAAAATTCTAGCACATGGTGCTATATAACCTTGTGCTACTGAGAAGAAATTTCTAGCCGTTGTTCGATCGGCGGCTCAAGTGAAAAGGAAGCGCGAGGAAGATCGCAGATCAGGAACTCCGCATCAAGCGCTCCAAGCGGAAAATTTTCCAAGCAAAAAAGCTAGAGATGGGATTAATGAAATGATAATCGAGAAGTGGTTTAATTAATACGATCGGACGGTGAAACCGTTACACTCGCCCCAACTTAACCAAAAAAAAAATCGAAGAAGCATTTAAGAATTTTTTTTTTTTTACTAGGAAATTGAAAGTTATCACGGAAGGACAAATGTACAACCATTCGACCAGATAACAAGTAGTAAAAGTAAGGTAGAAACAAAAATGTTAGAAGAGAATTGGAAGAAAAAGGGATAGCCTCAAGTCTACCAAACAAGAGGGATGGTTATAGCACCAACTCGCTGAAAAGTACAGTGAAGTTGCACTTAAAAAAAACTATCATCATATGATGAAAAACCCAAAACATAAAACATCGTCATACCTAAGACGAGAAAAATAATAAACCAAAAGTTTCAGCAGTAGTCCAAGCACGAATCACAATGGCATCCAAAATGCACGACTGACTACTAAAAACTTCAAAACTAAGTAAGTACCTAAACCATAAGAGGTACTAAAAAAATAATAATCTTTCTCAAAACAATTGCCAGATTATCTCGCAATACTCCAAACCCAAAAAGATTATGATCTACAGTGATATTTTAAACCAATATCCAATATAAAAAAAACAGTGCATTACTATTTTCAAAATATGAAAATCAAAAGAAATTAACAAATTCCATTAGGAATTCAAGTCATATAACAAAACCATTTACAAGTACTAAACCAATGAAAACTTGATCAATAAGGTATTTTAATCAAAAAAAGATGTTAACTAAGTGCAGTTCTGATTCCAAAAAAATTGTCGGGCGGGTCAAAATATAGCTTCAGTTCAATCAATGAACTAAAATTCAAGAGTAAGTTCAATTAAGATTTTCGGGTCATGTGACAACATAAGAACCAGAACAAAAAAAATTCTGAAGTTCAATATAGAAAAGGGCAAAATAAATTTCCAAGACAAAACTAAGTGCAACACAAGTACAACTGTAAATCTAATCGTATTAAAATCATAAAGTGAAAGGAAATATCAAAGCTATATGAGCATGATTTTATAAAGAATTCTCAAAAAATACAAAAGTAAGCAAAATATTAAAAGTTTCATGAGTAATAATTCAGAAACGAAGTGGGCATATGTAAAATGCAAAATAGCGAAACGAAAATCACAAGATATTTTAATAAATCATGATACATGAGAGTAATGCCGCAAGCAAAAATTGTATGCAAAAGACTACGATATATGCAGGTGCAAAATTGGAGTTATATAAAAAAAATCTAGTGAACAAGAAATAGAAATAAATATGATAGGTAAGAATTCGAATTTTGATTTAAAGCAAAAATATGAGAGAAAGACAACTTTCTAGGGTCACCATAGGTGCATTCCAAAGCCCTAGACAAGAATGTCTATAGTCTATGGAATATTCTCATGTAGATCACTGATATCATCAGCGCACTTCAAAGTCTAAACTGAGAATAACCATAACATTGTAAAATGAAAGTTAAGTTCAAATATGAAATATTACAAGATTAGAAAAACTATAATAATTTACCAGTGTAAAGTATGAAAAGAGAATTACTATACTGAATCTATAAGAATTGGCGATTACTTCAAGTCAAGACAAAAATTGAAAGAAATAAGAAGTCGGAAAAAAAAAATGAGAGCAGACTATCAAAACAAATGCAATAATGCAAAAGCAAAATCACCAGATATTTCAAAATCTATAGCGAAACATGAAAGTAATGTCGCAAACAAGCTCAAGACTTAGCAATACGCACAAATGTGCACAAAGGCTG